AGCAGAACTAATGGCAGATTTCTTTACAAAGGAATAAACCCACGCTATTGGTGGCATATTTACATTTTCCCCAACACACAAAGCCAACGCTAAAAATACAAACTGCTACCAAAACACGAGAAATACAAGGAGTATTTTAATGAATCGGATAAGAAACTGATTTTTAACGTTATATCTTACATGAAATCTTATGTTGAGTTGATAAAACGCTTCAAAAACTGGATAATTAATCCTCCAATAAATCCAATACATCCATAAAACCTCCCCCGTTGTGCATATCGGTTTGGCCTTGAGACTCTAGAAACGCAATGGCTTGACCCGAGCGATTGCCACTGCGGCAAAAAATAACCAATGGACGTGGCATGGATTCGATTTCCTCTAAATGATCAGGAATGCTCCCCAAAGGAATGTTAATGGCTCCAGGCACATCGCCATCGCTGTCCAATTCGGCGGGTTCACGAACATCTAATAAAGTGGCGTGGTGAATGATTTCATTAAGGTCTGACATTTCAATAATTTTTAAAAACTAAACAACACAATATTATCCCAAAATTTTTACGTCTTGCTCATTTTTGAGCAAAGCACCTGTAAACGGCACCCCATCTTTACCCAACTGAATTTGGGATAATGACGATAAATCGGCTCCGCCCAATTGCAACAATTTTAACCAGTCGATGAGTTCGCTGGTCGATGGTTTTTTCTTGATATTTTTTATGGCTCGCAATTCAATAAATAATTTTAGAGCATCTTGTACCAATTTTTGATCAATATTGGGAAAATGCACTTGGACGATTTCTTTTAAAGTTTCTGTATTGGGAAATGCTATAAAATGGAAGAAACAACGTCTTAAAAAAGCATCGGGCAGTTCTTTCTCGTTGTTGGATGTAATAATAATAATGGGGCGGTGCTTGGCCTGAATGGTTTGCTGGGTTTCATAGACATAAAATTCCATTTTATCGAGTTCTTGCAACAAATCGTTGGGAAATTCGATATCGGCTTTATCAATTTCATCAATAAGCAAAACGGCCTGCTGATTGGATTCAAAAGCCTGCCATAAAGGCCCTTTTTTAATATAATTGGCTATGTCGTATACTTTTTCATCGCCCAATTGAGAGTCTCTTAAACGAGATACGGCATCGTATTCATACAAACCCTGTTGGGCTTTGGTGGTGCTTTTAACATGCCAAGTGTGCATGGGTTTGCCCAGAGCTTTGGCCACTTCAAAGGCCAATAGGGTTTTGCCCGTTCCAGGTTCACCCTTTACCAATAAAGGACGCTGCAATACGATGGCCGAATTAACCGCCGTCTGTAAATCTTGGGTTGCAATATATTCGGATGTGCCTTTAAACTCCATAATTAGTGTATTTTATATTTTGATTTGAGTTGTTTCATCGCTTGAGCCAAACCATCGATGGTTACGGGAAACATCTTATCGTGCATTAACTCTCGAATGATGCCAATGCTCTGAAAATAATTCCATTCGTATTCGTGGATGGGATTGAGCCATACATGATGCGGATAATATTGATTTAATTTATGAATGCAGGCAGCACCCGATACCTCATTGTAGAAATCAATGGCACCCCCCACCGAGGTGATTTCATAAGATGCCATACTGGCATCCCCCACATAGATGAGTTTGTAATCCGAATTGTATTTGTGTATGATTTCCTCGAGGGGAATGGTTTCGTTTAACCGCAACCGATTGTCTTTCCATACTTTATCATAGACACAATTGTGAAAATAATAATATTCCAAATGTTTGAATTCGGTTTTAGCAGCCGAAAATAAATCCTCACACATTTGAATATACCCACCCATCGACCCTCCAACATCCATCAACATCAATACCTTAACGTTGTTTTTCTTTTCACGAATGTATTGAATATCAAGCCAACCCGCATTTTTAGAAGTTTTTTGAATGGTCTGATCCATATCCAATATTTCTTCTCCCCCTTCGCGGGTAAATTTGCGCAGTTGTCTAAGGGCAATTTTCATATTGCGGTTATCCAAATGCAAATCGCTAGAATAATCTTTATAAAGCCTTTGCTCCCAAACCTTTACCGCACTTTTTTGACCGCCTTCTCCACCAATTCTAAACCCTTCAGGATTGTATCCACCG